CACTGTGGAAATCAGTGTGGACTTTTCTCAAAAATTTAAACTAGAGGTTTCATTCCACCCAGCTATTCCCCTTCTTATTTTCCTGAAGCATTAAAAGCACCATGCCATAGCAATATGTCTATACACATTTTTGTAGCAGCACAATTTGGAATAGCTACATTTTGGAAACAGCCTAAATGCCTATCAACAGATGAATGGATAGAAGAGTGTTTTTTTTTTTAATACAACTCTGCCATGAAAAATGATAAACTTGAGACATTTCTAAGTAAATGGATGCACCTTGAGACCATACTCTTAAGTGAAATAAATCAAACATACATTTAAATAATGCATTGTTTCTCTGATGTGAAAAACCAAAAAGGTAAATAAGGACCAAAATGTATACTGGATATTTGGAAATAGGAAGAAAATGTTCAAATGGAAAGGGGAATACGGAAGGGAGATGGAAGAAAGGAATAAGGAAGAAAGAAAAAAGAATGGAAGGGAAAAAAGCAAATAAAGAGAGAAAGGGGTTGAAGGGAGGGGAGAGAACTGGGGGAAAAGAAGAATCAGGATGTGTTATACACAGGTACAAATTTGCGATGATGACTGTGATCATTATGTATTACTAAAGTGTACCAACAAAATTAATTTTAAAAAACATTAACACTTCCTAACTAGAAAAAAATAAAAGAAAACAAGTTATGCTTCATGCCTTTAGCAATAGGGCACTCGTTTGAGTTCAACATTGATTTTATCTGGATAAAGACCCTTGAAATCACAAGTAATATGGGCTTGTTTGTAGCTATTTACAACTGTGTCACTAAAGGACTGCTTTTAGTCTATCTGCAGGGAAAAGGAAATAACTTTGTCATGGAAAAAATGGAAACAAAGTGGGAAGGACTCGGCATCAAATGGCACCAGTTAGACACCAGGGCTGGGCACATGGGATCCCACTGTGCCCTGAGAGGTCTTTGTAGAGATTGTTGTTCGGAAAAGGAAGCTAAAGGTCTATGAAGACCACATGCTTAGCTGGTGAGAGGAGGGAGGAGCATGGAACCCAGGTCTTTTCACTGTAGATGCCTCCCTGACACAACCATTACAATGGGGTTTACCTACAGAATACCTGCTTTTGTTTATATTTGACTAGGTTTAATTCACTCTAAATTCCATAGAGCCCCACAGAGAAGTCACTGAAACCTCTTTCATCCAACCCATCACCTAGGGGGCAAGGGCTGTGGTATATCTGGAGACGAACAGTAACCCAGACAGTTACTTTCTGCCCTCGAAGAGATTGCTCCCTATAACAAACTCCTGTGGAGTATCAAATAGTCAATATTTCAGGCTTTTCAGACTGTCTGTAGGGTTTTTTGTTTCAATTACTCAACTCTGTCATTATAACTTAAAAAGTGGCAATATATAATCCATCAATGAATGGGTGTGGCTGAGTTCTAATAAAACTTTATTTACAAAAATCAGTGGTGGCCAGATTTGGCCCGCGGTGTTTACTGGTTTACTGACCACTACTCTCTGGAAAACTCAGAAAAGGAATCAACTAATTAGTAACACATGGTACTAATTATTCTAAGTGAGCTCGTACAATGAAACCTGAGGCAGATTGGGAGCGAGCAAGTTCCAGAAGGAACCAGAATTCTCAAAGCAACCTGGAGCATGCATTCAAAGTAAACAAATACAGATTTCCAGTCCTCGCTCACTATTCTACTCATGTTCTCCATTAACCGCATTTCACATAAGCAATTCCTTTCTCAATATTTACCTGTCTCATCTCTTTTTATCAAAATAATTCAAATTCTCTCCCTTTCCTCTCACAAGGACATCAACCCCTGCCTTCCATCTGTCACAGTCTAGATTTTACTCAGTCCTTCAATAGTCTTGCAAAAGTCTGAAAAAAATAAATCTGAATTTAAACAAATACATTTATGGTATGTAAATCATACTTCAAAAATAAATAAATAATACCAAGATAAATAAATAAAGCCCCCAGCCCTCCTCCTGGGAGTCCTCAAGTGTGACTGAACTTTTGATGAAACCCCACATAGCATAGGGTCTGCAAAAACCCAGCTTCATCCTAATCTCAAAAGATTTTCTGGTAACACTTCAAGGAACATGAACTTACAGAAAAATCTCAAGTCTAGCACAATAACAAGATATAATGAGAGAGAGTTGAAGAAATAATAGCAAAATCAATTCCACAAAGACTTTAGCTACTGAAATTGGATGCAAAATATAAAAATAACTTTTAATATTTTGACAAAAATAAAAGCTCGAGTGTATGGGCAAGAAACAAGAGATCATAAAAAGATCAAGTAAATGTGGAAAAAAAACAAAATTTCTACAAATGTACTAACGAATGGGTTAAGATACAGTTTAAGCATACAACTCAAGGAAGAATTAGTTACAGTATTTGAAAGATACAGATTAAGTAACAGGTGAAGACATGATTAGAAAACCATAAGATGGATACAGGTCAGGAATCAAGTACTTTTGCAGACAGATACACAAAGAGCTGGAATAAGTGAAAGAGGCTACAGTGTACAGTACCAGAAAGATATGATAAAGAGAACGGGGAAGAGGCGCTATTTGAAGAGTTCAAGACTGAAGTTTTCCAGAATTTCTGGGTGAATGAAAGCAAACCTTCAGCCATAAAATCAGAAGCCCATTACCAGGTGAAGAATTCCTTGTTGTAGGTGGCCACGTTACACGAAGTTTTTTTCTACTCTTTTAAGAAGTAATTGAGTTCCAAAAGAGCTATGGTACAGTATTTTCATACTTTTATACTAAGGTTTCAAAAGCAGTAATACCATGAAAAACATTCTGTCCCATTTGCATTTTATTCATTCACCAAATCTGTGAGTTCTTTCCATAACATTATTTTGTTGTTTTTAATAAAAATAGAAACACTCTTGAATCTCACCTGCAGGGTAACACTGAGATCTCTGGAGACCCTCAATGTGTCCTATGATGTTCTACACAATAGTGGCTGTCTGTATAAGGAAGATTGTTGACTGACAAACAGCATGATTGGGTCATAGGGATAGAAGATACAACTGAAAGTAAAATATGAAAGAAACCAACCTAACAGTCTTTCCAGACCTTGAAATAAAACTAGAGTTAGCACACACCATCCTAATGTAGATGTGCCCTGCTCTGCCTTACAGAAATGTAAGAATAATCACAACTCACACTTAAAGATCATCTACTATCACCAAGCACTCTGCTGAGAATGTAACAAGCAGAAGAAAAAAGGAATTGTTTTATATCATATTCAACAAACTGCCTTTAGCCTCTATAACTGAAACAGGTTGCTTATTTTCTCTAAATGCATCAATGAATACTATGCCTGCTGTGTTCCATTACTGCCAGTGTAATATCAAAAAGTTTCACAAGCTAAAAGAAATAAGTAAAATCAATTGTATTTCACTTTAACATAGAAATAGAAACTTCATACTACAAATTTGTCTTATTGTTTGGGGTTCTTGAAATCATTTTCCCAAATAGAAAGGGGAAAAAAACCTGTGTAAAACAAAATGATACCCATGAAGAAATGATAAGAGAAATGTTTCCTGGTTTAGTTAATTTGGTCTGCACCCTTGGGAAAGCAATGAAGCTACAAGATACCCACAGCCTGGGCCTCGGGGCAACTGCTTTAAACATGTAGGGTACACCAAAATTACCAATATGTTTATTTACAGTATAGATTCCTAGCCTCAACTGGGACAATTATAATTTAGCAGGTTTGAAATGAGGCCCAGAATTCTGCCAACTTTGCAGGTGCCACAGGTAACAAGGGCAAGTAGTCTGAAATATTCCTCACAAAACTCTGTTTAAGGAGAAATAGACCCATAAGGCCCACCTTTTCTACTCAGAATCCTGAACAATGCTCACTGGACTGTAGAAGTGATCTGATTTGCAAGGGTCTGGTTTAGCATGGACTCTGATGTGACATCGATCTGGCTCCTTCATCAAAGGGACAGATTAGAGCCATCAGGATTTCCAGGCACAAGGTTAACTGCTATTCATTATGACAGAATCTTTAATAAGCTATTCAAGAGCACCATATACTAAGGAAATTCTTTGCAAATGTCTATCTACTCCTTCCTTTTTCCAAAAAGGACTGAGTCTCACCTTTTCATAGATGTTAGTGTAAAGGACCATGTTTCCCTTGGTCTTCAACTTCAGATTCCGTTTCAAGAATGAGAAAGAATAGTTTGGGCAAAAGAGAAGCTTGTGAAGGTTTTTATCTCACTGGAAGAGTAGATGGTCAATATGTTTACCTGACTGTATAGCAGCCAATCAGACACCAAGGTCTTTTCAAAGTACCACATAAAGTGGCCCAAACCAGGGAGACAGAAAAGATATGTCAACATTTCTGGTAATAATACAATCAAATTTGCTTTTAGTTTGCAACTCCTTAAAGTACTGTTTCACAATTATTCCCTTAAGTTAGAGATTATAAGTAACAGACCCTAATTATTATTAAAGCATAAGTCTTTGCCATTTTTATGTCATGTATGTATCATATGTATTTGCTCTCACTCACAGTCAATCAGAAGGGAAAAACAAGAAATATATTTAATTCAACATCTACTTTATCAACATGGGGTTTCCATCTCCACTAAATGTCACCCACCATGTTGACTCCAAAGAACTAATTATGTAAACACACACACACAAAATCTTACACACACAATCAAGCACACACATGCGCACGTGCACACACACACACACACCACACACTCCTTTTTTCTCTCCAGAACTTTTTGATGACTTTGCAAAGCCAGTCAACAATGCATCACAAAGGCATCCAGAGTCACGCTGGGATGTTGTAACAGAATCACAGGATTATGTGGGATTCATCCAATTTTGAAAATTCGCGAACAGCAAACAGCAGAGGTAAATGGAATCAAATGCCAGGGCCAGGCTGAGAGAGACTTGAAACTCAGTCTTCATGAAATCTCTAGGGAAAGTTGCCTGCTGTGGCATGGAATAAAGGGAAACAGAAAATGACAGCAAGACTTCAAAGAACAACCCTTGGTTTGGCCTTCTTTGGCCTCTTTGGGGTCCTGGAGGCAGCAACAATAGCGTGCAAAAATGAAGATGGCGAAGCCGTGGACTGGTAGGTAAATGAAATGCAAGGATTAGAATATTCAAACAGAAAGCCAGAGTACAAGTGTGTGAGGCAGACTGGCTGGCTGTGAGTTTCCTCAAGAGAACTTCTGAGTTGCTTCCTGCTTTAAAAGAAAGAGACCGAAAGCACACAAATGGGCTATACTCCCAAACAGGGTTGGCTCTGAGTGAGTGTTTCCCCCTGAGGAGGACCGAACAGTCCCTCTGGGCATGATCCCGCCCTCAGCAGGGCAAAGCTGGTAGCCACAGAAGTGGAACTGAGCTCACAACTTCAGCCAGTTGGCAATTTTCTTTAATTACACGTGGCTTTTCCTAACAGAATCTTTTCAGCATCATTGTCAAGACTGCTAAGGGAGAGAAGGCAAATGACCTTTTTCTGAAACTGGAAAATGCCCTTTTTTATGAGGACAAAGAGGACGTGATCACACACAGCACTGTTTGGTTAACCTTGGTTTGTTAGGTGGCACAAGCAGAGGTTGGAGTAGGTAGAAAGTCACTGGCCTCTTGTATCAAAGAGACTAAACACAGTGTTGCATTGTAGCCATAGATTCTCCTAAAGCTTTCATTCCTTTTTCACTCTTTAATTAGTATGTTTAGGTTTGCCGTTATAGTTAGCATCGAGCTTTGTGTGAACTTCCAGCTAAAGAAACAGGTAAGTCACTCGGCCTATCCTCTAGCAGTTTCAGAGCTTCTACACGGCCTTGTCCTGAGTTTTGACAAATATAAGACACACACACACACACACACACACACACACACACACACACACACACTACCCTCGAGGAGCTCACAGATATGAGATAAGGCCATGAGAAGCACAGAGCCAACAAGGCTTCTTTAAAGAAAGTTTTTGAGCTAAGTTTTAAGAAAAATAATGAAATAGCTAAGAAACAAGATGCAAGGGCTTCTCGGGCCAATAAAGGAGCAACGAGGTTAGTACAGAGGCCAGGAGCAGCATGGAAAGTTTGGACGTGCAGGTGCTTTAGTATTGCAGCAGCTTCTGAGCCACGTAGGAAAATAACAGGAGATGAAGGTAGAAAGGTAGGTGAGGGCCAGGTCATGAAGGACTTCATGTGCTGGGCTGAAAGATATGAACTTGACTTTGAAAAGTATTTATTGAAGAGCCTCAAGAGAGAATGAGGTAATGTCACGTTTGTTTCTTAGGAAGCCCATTAGCTATACGGTAAAGGCTAGATTGAAGCAGACCCATCTGGAGTCATGGACAGCAACGAGACTTTTTAGTATTGCAAGCAAGAAGACCTGTAGATCTGAGCTAATGAGACAGCAGTGGAAACAAACAAACAAACAAAAGAAATACTCTGAGACTACCTCGTGACGAGTGAATCGCTGGGAGTGAAAGAAGTTACAGAGAGACTTTTAGGTTTCTGGCTTCTGGGGCTGTGTGGATACATTTTCAAATGCCATAGGATGAGCAGCTGTGTAGGAAAACACTATAAACTTGGTTTCAAAAATGTGGACTTGCAGGTTTCTGAGGAAGATTTTTGTTTAGGTTTATCTGGATCTCCACAAAACAGTCTGGGCTAACAACAGATAACACATCATTTGAGACAGTCACCCAGAGAACGTGTTTAACCTTTCTAGCTATGGTCTTGTGAGCAATGGCACATGGGTCTACAAATGCTTCATCAGTGGGTCACCAAACAGTGATTAATCTGTAAAATTTACTTTTCCCACAACTGAACATCTAGCAGAAAACATAAGTAACTTGTTACATCGCTGCTACCATTTACTGAGAGGCAAAAAGCAGAGACCATCAAGTCAGCACCAAGCCTGTTTCTACCCGTGTGAGGACCTAGCCCTATGAGTCACAAAAGGGCAGGGAAAGTTCTCTTGAATAGAAGTGTAAGACTTCCAAGTCTGACATGAAGTTCTTGGGGGAAGAGTGTTGTTACACCATAATATAATGTTTGGCTCACGGTGAGTGTTTAAGGGTTAATTATGGGGGTTCATGCTATTAGAAAATATATGGCCAGACAAATAGCTGTCAATTGGGCACAATTTTTGCCTTCAAGGTACCAGTGAAAAGGTCTGAAGATATTTTTTATTGTAACACCTTGGGAGTACTAATGGCCCCTAACAGGTAGAGGCCAAAGGTCCTAAGATGCATAGAACAACTCCCAGAACAATGAAGGATCTGTCTCAAAAGATCGGTGGAGCACATTGAGAAATTCTAGGATAAGCGATGTAAGGCCGCCTGAATACTCTGAGGGCCCTCCTACCTGTGAGACACCAAAGGAGATACACAAACTGGAAATAATAAAAAAGGAAACAAAGGACCTATTTAATTAGTTCATCTTGGGTCCAAATCCTCAATGCATTCTGATCAATTGAACTAAGGAACATGGTTTAAACCAGCTAGAAGCTCAAGGAAGCCCCCATCTCCCTAAATTCCCAAATGTCATACCCAGAGAGCAGCTGCAAACACATGAAAATGCCAGTATTTACAGCACAAGAGAATCAAAGACTCCTCCAATCCCAGTCTCTGTCTTATCCTTCTCCTCATTGAAGCCATAAGGACTGCGGAAACAGCATCTAAGGACTTCTACCTCAGGGACCCCAGCCACCAGGCCACCTAATATCTTAGAAAGTGTCTCATCAGTGTCACATTTCTATTTCTGAGGAGGAGCAAGAAAAGGGTATAGAAATCTTGAGCAAATCCCCTCCCTTAAAGGTCTTCATCAATGTAAGTGAAAGTATACTTCAGTGCTTAGCCCAGGGACAGCTACCAGGAAAGCAGTTGATAAATGACAGCAATTCATAATTATTTCTTCTGTCAGGTTTATTTTCTATAAGTTACCCAAAAGGCAAAACAAGGACAGCAGAGAGCCTGGGCTAGAGTACCTTTACCTAGACTCCACAATTAGAAGCTGGAGGAGGAGTGAACAGCTAATAAATGCCACCAAGAGTGCTTTGGGAAGGACTTTACAACAGCTGCACGAAGCCTATGCTTCCAAGGTGAGTTACAGTTTACCATTCATTTGAATCACAGAAATAGGCATAAAGCAGAATCTAAAACTTCCAGAAAGCAATTTTGGAAGACTTTTTCCTACTCATCTACCCAGGTTCCCCACCCCCACCCCCGCATCCCAGCAACTTAAAGTAAATGAATTCACAGCCTGTCCAGGACAACTGAGTCAACCCGGACAAGACCTTCAGGAATACCGCATCATAGTCTACACTCCACTTGGCATTCTTGAGTGATATCAGTGGGCAAGGTACAAAATCCTTGCATATCAGAGTTTTCTTGCTGCCAAAACCTCTGCCAATTCACTTAGCACTTGCTAACTCATCCATCTGATAAAAATAGGAAGAAATGCCCCCTTCTGCTAACAGGAGATGTAGGCCTGTGATTGAGATGCCAGGAATCATGGGTTGTTTACGTCATGGTGTTCATGAGTGGTAGCAACCCAAGTAGAGTTCCAATGGGTCCTCCTTTTAATCATTTTCAAACTGGTAGGTTGTACCTAAGGCTCTAGTTTCAAGGACCTACAAGTAACTTTCCTGAATGGAGATTAAACGGGCTATCAGGACTCATCAGGCAATGAGCTAACCAGGCAGAGACACAGGTTGAGCAGGCCTGCTGGCTTCCTGTGGGCAGCCTCCCAACATTCCAGCCTCCATCTGTCCTACAGGGACTGCATTCCAGCCTGGGGTAATGAGTGAAATCAAGCAATAATTAACATCCACTTACACTCACCCCTCATCCATGTGTTTCCTAACAATAACTTACAGGGAAGCAAATGTATAAAACAATGCAGTTCCCATAAAGTGCCGGGCTTTTACATATGTCAAACAATTTAGTGATCAGTCCAAGACTGTTTTAGCCTCTAGCACTACCGTATATGTGTATCTGTATATTTACTCAAAATGAGCAGGGGGCTATCACTGTGTGTGATAACACTCATTTTATTCACCTGCCATTAAGAGCACCCTTCAAAGTGAAATGGCAAAGTTAAAGTGACTTTGTAAGCTGTTTTGAAGACATGTGATGTGCCAAAGTACTGTTCCAGGTGCTTTTAAAAATTATTTAATCTCAACAACAACAACCCTGTTTTGAATACACAAACCATTATGTAAAATGAAAACTGCCTGCAGCTGCTTCTGTTTTCCAAGTCTAGGAACTCAGACCAGGAGCATAATCCAATAGTGAGAAAATAAATGCTTATGATGTTTCTTTCCCAATCATGGAACTGCTGGGGCAGGAAAGGGAAAAAAGTAACATTATTAAGGCTGTGTCATTCACCTTAGTTGATGCACACTGTTCTAGGCTTGGCAGAAACCAATAATTATCTCAGGAGGCGCAAAGATAGCCCCACAGCCTAGGTGAGAAAGAGCGAAACTGCTTTCCAAAATTTAAAAAAAAAAAGTGGAAAAAAAGCAGGAAATTAAAAAGTGTGAAGAACAGAGGGAAATTAGCAGACTGAGGTAGGGACATCATGATGTAAAATCATTCAATGTTCCTTACCTTCAATAAAACCTGTTCACACAATGCCTTGAGTAATTGGTTCTGGGAAGAAAATGACAGAAAAAGAACTGGCTTCCATGTCTGATTAGCACGTAAGAGCAATGTGTGATACCTCTGTGAGACTGAGCATTCTTTGGAAGCTGGAACTCTGTGTCAGAAATGACCACAAGAACATAATTTTCCCAGTCCCTGACCTAGAAATGAACTTATAAGAGTAGAATCCAAGATCAGACCAACTAATTTTAAATCTTAAATGTCAAGATAACCAAAGTGAATGGCTAGGTTATGTTGGAATTATTTCTCTTCTTTTGCTTTTCCCAGTACGAACCCTCCACACACCATAATAATGCTGACCAAACTGTATTGAAGTTGCCTATGTTTTCCTGATACATAGACTAAGGTCAGAGACATGTCCATTTTTTTCCAACATCCAAGAGTCAAAACAATACTCGACATTTGTGTTAAAGGATCTTTTTCCTTTATCAATAGTCTCTCTTCCCACCAACACCACAAGTCACTTAATCTTGGCTGTTACATTCTGGTTAAAATTTTTAAAAATTCATCTGTTATGAGAATAAAGATCCTCATCAAATCTTCCCAAAGTCGCTCCTCATTGTATCCCCAAAGCAGACAAATAGCCTCATTACCACATTTGATGTCAGCACATAGAATAACTGTCAGAGTGCTGCAGGGAAAAAATGGTAAAAATACCACTCTGTATGGAAAACAAGGGTAAGAAAACAGCTAACTTTTCTGACTATGCCTGAGCACAACAGCCAAGAATGCTATACAGACTATGTTGTGAATTTTAAAAATGTTTTAGATAATATCAAATAATTAAGTAACTGCAAGAGACTCATAACTGACACTTTTCTGAGAAAAAAAAGAAAGGACTTCTTTTAAGGAAATAGGTTGTCCTTTCCTGCTTTCATTATGTTACTGAGATTTTTTGTCACTATCAACACTATTGGCTTCAATAAAAGTCACTGCGTTATGTCACAAATGAAATGGAACCACCCAGAGCAAATGTAAACACTTTTTGAAAACGTGACACTATCAAATTAATAGCCTTATTTTGACTCAGATATTTAGCTGTTTGGAGAATTGACTGGATTTTGCATTACTGGAAGAAATCCAATATTACACAGTAAATTTCACCGCTTTCTCTTCACAGGAAAATATCAAGTTAAAAAGGTAAATTGACACTGAGAAATGGATTGAAGCAAAACCCTCCCATATCAGGGAGGGAGTGGGGGAGCAGATAATGAGGAATCCTGATTAAATACAAAGCCAAGACCAGGCAGTGAAGTGTGAAGTGGACAGAGGAAATCAGATCCTGACAGCCCGTTCTGCACTGTGCCTATAATATCAATGGGAAAAGCCCAGGTGTAATCCTTGGCTGGTTGTTCCTATCCCATTTTCTGAACAAATAATTCCACTCTCTTTTATCCTAGACTGGTTGCTTAATCAGAAATTTCATTGCAAAACAAACAGGAGAAACAATAACATCGCTCTCACAGACAGATCACAATGCACAGGGTTCCTGTCATGGATCCGTCCTCCCCCCAGCCCATCTTGCTCTTATATGCAGTGGGATTCATACTGATGAGGAACGGCCCATTAGGAGAATAGGTGTCTTCTCATGTGTAGTAGTGAAAGCTCTGTACTGCAGACTGGGAAGCTGGTAGCATCACTGTGAACATTTTCAGTAGGATATCTATGCCATTATAACTTTCATATATTCCTGCAGAGTAACAACACAGCCTATCTACTATACAATGATGGAGGCCCTAAATCTTTGGGTTACAGCAGAAACTTTGGCCACACCAAAGGTATGGTGACAGCTCTTTCCTGTTGGAAATCAGCGATTTCTTAGACCTTTCATCTTGAGTATTCTCATATTCCATTCTAAAAAAGATAGCTTTTGTTTTTAATGATTGTATTTTTGGCTTGTTAAAATGTATGATTTCTACATACCAGTTTATAAAATAATTACATAAGTTGATTTGGCAAACCCTGCTCAGAAATCCTATTTTATTTCTTAATTTTTATATATATGTTTTGGAGCAAAAATCCAGGTTCTGACTACTGGGAATATAAGATAATATATATCTATGCATGCATACACACATACATGTACATATATAAATAACCGTGCAAAACACCAGCAATTCTGTATTTCATATATATGCCTATATGTATATGCAAAATTTATCTATATACACTTTTTAGATTTATTGAATTAAAAAATACACCAAGTAAAATTCACTCTTTACATAAAGTGCAATTCCATCTGAAATAAACATTTTTGAAATGTATTTTTAAATATTTGTTCATATGATAGTAATTTTTGTTATGTATTTGCTTACATAAAATTATGTGTAGTAATTTTGTCATAGAAATTTTGTCATTTGCCTATTTATAAACTGTGCATATACATGTATGTAGACAGAAAAACTCAAAATTCAGGTAAACAAAAAAATCTATAGTTCTAATACCTGTTATATAAATATGCTTAATCCCGTCTACTTTAAAAAATACTTATTTTAAAACATTTTATATGGCTATTATGACTACTTTCCAACTTAATATATCACAAATAGTACAGTAATAGTAAAAATAGCAATAAATGTTCTTCAGGAGATTCCAAGCTCAAATGCCTTTAGAGACAGGTGGGTAATGTCAGCAAGTGAAGTGGGCTTAAGTGGCAGGTAATTGGAGGGCCACCTGAGGCCAAAAAGAGGCAGTTATTTGCACATTTTCAGGAGATGTTGAAAATTAGTATATGTGGAAAAATCTCCTCTGTTTTTAGAAATTCACAATAAATTCAAAATTCTAAAAACACACTGCAAGCCTAGTAGTATATCTGCGAGCTGCATTTGACCCATAGACTGCTAATTTGTAGCCTCTGATGAAGAAGATAATTTGTAATGGCTGTCAAAGTTCATGAGCTTTGAGGGGGCCGGGGATTTAGCTTAATGGTTCTGCTGCCTGCCTTGAAAGCACAACATCTCAAGTTCAATCCCTGCTACCAATAATAAATAAATAGATAAATAAAACGCTCATGAGCATTGAAAGCTTTTGATTTAGTCAAGTGCTCTCCTGATGCCCCATTGACACAGAACTTAACAATTTTTATAATGTACCACATTCTCCAACCTCTCCTCCAGCAACCTCTGACCACCACTCCTATTCTGCCCTATAGCTGCTGCAAAATTTTAAGAAAAAGAAAACGGGGTTCGATATCAAGTCTGGGAAGTTCCCCTTGCCAATAGATACCCTAACATCTGAGGTGGTTGGGATTTTATCAAAATAACACATTCATCTGGGTAGAGGGGAGCACTTAAAGGTCATCCAGCTCTGTTAGGTCACAGAGTGGTTTTTATGAATGAATTTTATGTTTGTATGTTCATGGGCAAACTGGAAGGTCTACCACACCAGACCTATCTTGATGAAAATGTCCATTGGACAAGGTTTTCTTTTTGGTCATGTCACAAGATGATGAAAATCTTTTTTTATTTTCTTTCTTTCTGGTTTTCATGTTAGTAACAGATTTTTCTCAACCTAATTAATGAGGTAGCTTTAACAGCTTCCTTTTTTCTCTTTGCCTTCTTCATTGGATGTGTAGAGTTTAGTGTTTCTTGTTTAATAAATGAGCATCAGTTTCTTAAAACAAAGTACTACCAGTACATTTCTTTTATTTGATATTCTCTCTTTTAACTCTGTTTTACCAGGCTTTTGAAAAAAGCATAGCTATTTAGTAGAAGACACTGTCTGAAGCTTGCCAGGTGACTGTATGGTTTAACAAGGTCAAATTCCAAGTTAGCAAATTTGCACGCTGCTAAAACAAATCTTCCTTGTAACTTCAACATAAAGTTCCTCTTAACTCTTCACAGAGTGGCTGCCCTGGCTCCCTTTTGTGGTAGCTTATTATCAGTATGGGGCATTTTGATGTGTACCTGATTGTTTTTTGAAGTTTTTGAAAAAAAAAATTTGATCTTTGTGATAATTAGTCTAATAAAATATTACCCTAAAGCACAAACAGGCCTAAATGTTACAGCTTTGAACTCTACTTTAAAAGGAGCTTTGTTTTTCTACTTTACCTGAGCTAAGTGTATCTTTGGTAGGTTTACTGCTGTGGAGCAAAATCCAGGGATTCTGGCTGATTCATTCTATTCCCCGATTTCCTCCACTTCCTGAAGAAGGCTATGATTATCCATCCACAGGAAGACGGAATGGACAAAGTGGCATCTGTATCACTTTCAAATATAACCAGTATGAAACAATAGGTAACACAAGAGTATATAAAAAGGACACAGCAATGATAGAAAAGAAATTGGGAAATATATTAACAAATGTATCACTTCATTTGTTACTTTATTCACAGATGTCTGGTACCAAGATTCTAATTCTGGCTCTGCATCGAGGAGGCACTGGGAAAGTTCATTCACTGGTCCTGGGTTCCTCTTTTACTGGTTACACATAGAAATTGGTCAGGCAAAAGCAGTATTTTCTAAAGAATTCAGGAAAAGTACCACAAAAAATGGGTGAAATAGACAAATGTTAAATAAGCTCTGGGAGCAATAACAAACTGGGGTGTTGACTTTCCCCTGGATGCCTTCAAAGGCCTCAGTACAGTGTATTGTGGCTCTGCAGAAATACAGGCTTACTGATTATAGATCTCTATATTGTTCATGAGGAACCGGAAACCTAGTGTGTGTGTGTGTGTGTGTGTGTGTGAGTAAAATTTTGATTTTTTAAAAATACAAGCTCAATCTTATTTTTAAAAATTCTGCAGACCAAATGTTGCTTGTATGCTGCCAACATGACACCTCTGAGCCAGATACATTTCTTTTAAGATCTCAAGCTCAAATAGCAAAAAATACTTATATTTAGGAAACTATGATGTGAGAGCAGGAAAAGTAGGAATATTGTTTTACCAATCCTTTTTGTACTGAGGAAGTTGCTAAACAGAAGTGAAAACTAACTCTCCCCCAGATATAGGAAACTTATAAAATGTTTCTCATAAAATTTCCAACTTATGAGAAGGATCAGAGCTTCTCACCTAAGTCAAGCCCAGTTGAGTTCATGTAACAGAGAGCTAACAGCACAAAGATAAGGTATGCATGCTGAGGAGTTGATTGTTTTTGAAACTGGACGATCAGTACAAGAAGTTCTCTACTTTTATATATGTACATACAGGAGAAAAAACATATGGCCTCCAAGACCAGATTATCTGAGTTTGAATATTAACTCCATCAGTTACAAGCTTTATGACCATGAGCATGTGGCATAAAGTCTTAGTTAATTCATCTATAAAATGAGATTAGTGTCACAACAGACCTTACCTAAAAAGATGACTGAGGATTAACCCAGTAAAAATTCCTATGTATGTATGGAACGTGGGAAGTATTCAACAGGTGTCAGTTAAAGCATTTTGGTATCAAATAGTTTAACCAAAAGCTTTAAAGAAAATAGAATGCCTGTATTTGAGAGTGTCTCCTTTTGTTTTATCTATAATATCAATAAGCATTTCTGTTTGCATCTAAATTCTCAACTTAACTGTTTACTGATGCAGATTCTCAGCTCTTGGTCTGCAACCCAAACATCTATGGTTGTTCCATCCCGGCCACCTTTCACCAGGAGCTCATCCACATGCCCCAGCTGTGCACCAGGTCCGGCCCATCTGAGATCCCAGTCCGGTACCTTACCACACTTCAGTCAGCCCAAGGAGAAAGCTTCCTCCATTTTGCAAAATCCGATTCATTTCCGGATGGTATGAAAGCCCATCATAAAACAGTATGCTCTATATGCTGTTGGACTTGTTACAAATTACAGGAAAAAAATTCTGATTATTAAGGGGGAAAGATGTAGAAAAGGAAAAAAAGAGGAATAAAAGGGAAAAGGAAAATCAGGGATTCAAACATTTGCGGCTCCATTGGAAAAACAGGTTTGCTAATTTAGCCGCAGAAGCATCTCACAATCACACAGCGAGGGACCACTCAGTTTCAGCTTCTGCTAGGTATGGGGGGCCACAGGTGTCTCCTCTCCCATCCCTAAAGCAGTCATTCTGAGCCTTCTCAAGTTCTTTAAGCAACCATGCCCTTCACCAACAGAGAGAACAAAGATCACTAAGGTCCCACCATGAGATTGCACTCGCACCCTTCCAGCGATGTCATTTGTCGTCACTGCCTTTTCCTGGCTGTTCTTCCACCCCAACAGAAGCAATGCACCCTCTGTTCTCTGGAACCTTCAACTGCTTTGATTGTCCACTTGATCTTCTCTGCCTGTTTTCCTTTGAGTTCCCACTCTACTTGTTCCTTCTTTGTAGCATGAAGAAACGTGCCTAGAAATCTTCCCTTAATTCCAAATCCCCTATATCGCAGTTTTTCCTTTTTAACCCCAAACTGCTTTCTAAAAGCCTGGTGAAGGCCTTCGCTTGCTTGCTTGGTGCTCCTTTGCTGTAGATTTCTCCCGTCTGTAAACACGTCCTCCCCATCACCAGTGGTTGCCTAGGTGACTCACGGTCTTCCTTGTTTCCTTCCTTGCTTGTTTGCTTTCTTCCTTCTTGCATACAATATACTGAATGCCTACTACTTTCCAAACCCTGTCAGGCACTAGAGACGCAAAAATTAACAGGATAGAAATAATCTACTGTTTCAACTATGTTATTGTGCTTATGGTATCCATCTATCAGGAGTAAATGATAATTTCCGTTCCTGAGAATATTTTCAGGGTTTTATTTCAGTGTAAATACAAAGCGCTCTCTCTCTCTCTCTCTCTCTCTCTCTCTCTCATCTCTTTCTCTCTCTCTCTCTCTCTCCTTCTGCACTCTAGACATCTTGGCAGGCTGGATGGCTCAACAGTTAAGGACACACTTGCTAACAGAAACCTGGCAGCGAAAGAGACAAGAGCTTCCTTCAAACTGCTCCCTTCCTTACCATGTCTACAATATCAAAGCCATTAAAATATCTCGACAGAGTCATTTCAGTTCTTACCAGGACCACGCCAAATGGTGCATTTCCCAAAAGGGCACTAACAATCGCTGGACATGTATTGGAGACCTAAATCGGAGCCAGCAGCAAGCCTTCAGAAGCGGAGGATTCATTTGTACCCAGAATCGGAATATTTATCAAGCATTTCAAAAACTAGTTTTGTATTATGAGGACTGTGACTAAACTTGATCAAAGTGGGTACAAGCATTAACACTGAAACACTGATAATGGGTCTAATATTGTTAGACATTCTTTACATATTAAAACCTTCTAAATACACTCAGCATATCACTAAATAAAATAATTTTAACATATTTGACATTTTATGGTCTAATTAGTGAAAATTCCTGTACTTTGAGTTTATGGTATATAATCATAAACTAATTATAACTAAAATGAGAACAGAGGTAATAAGAAGAAAAGCATCTTTTTCAGACTACTCAACTCCAGTTGTTCATAGACTGACTGGCGACTTTGTAGATTACGTTTTATTTTTTCACAAAGATATTCCTGACGTTTTCCCTGTCTTTTTCTAAAGAAAACAATAACTCTGTCCCTGTACTTTGATACTATTTCATCAGATTCTTCTTACAGTACTTTCTCACTGATTATATTTAGGTCTTGTCATTCTTGCAGATGTCACTTACTCAGCGTATGATATTGGGCCACTCACCTGAATTCTCTGAGCCTTGTTTTTATTTTAATCTATGAACGATAAATATCTAGATATGGTCAAGAGCCTACCACACATCCTGACATATAGTTAGCATTAAAAGTATAGGTGAAATTGGAATTTGAATCCCACTCACTCAGCAAAAAGAAGTTTTAGAAATGAGTAATACTCGTGAAAAAATTTATAGTCAGATTAAGAGAAAAAAGTATAACCACAACCTTTCAATTTGAAGGAAATAAAGAAATGCGTCATAAAGAAACAAAAAACAAATCTCACAATCTTTGTTTCACTAAACACGATTATTACATTAATGAAAAACTTAGAATTAACTACTTAATAAACAAGATATAGGTCCCAATTTCAAGAAGCTTACAGTCTAACAAAAGAAAATACATCAATAATTAAAGGTCGTATTTATTGAGCATTTACTATGATAGCAAACATTCAACCCACATTTTCTTAGACTACACAACAATTTGAGGCTTAAAGAACTTCAATACTTGCCTAGTATAACAGAGGTCTGTTTGACTTCTAAGGCTAAGCCTTTATGTTCTATTCCAAGAGACAATAAAAGGAAATGAGGCATTACAGGATAATATCTATCCTGAGTTATCAATACCAACCAAAATTCACTGGACCTAAGATTCAATTACAAGCAAGGAAAAAGCTATTTGTCTTCCTGTCAGAAGCAAGTATAAGCAGTGGGTGTGTTGATTGCTATCTAGCTAATATACATGCCTGAAAATGTGAAGAGACCTGAAAAAATGTTTTGGCCTTTCAGAGAGTATCTAAATAGGAATAATCTCAGTAAAACAGGATTACTAGAGAAAAACCAAGAAGTTTAAGATGCTGACTCTAGAGTGAAGTAGGTCAAAGCTTACTCCAAAGATGTAGAGAGAAATGAATGATAAGTAGTAAAAAGAAAGTAAAAGTAGAAATTCTGTTGAGCTAAAAATACATAATAAGTTGGAGATGCCTTCCCCAAAAGGTAAAAATAGATCTACTAAGAAAAGTGGCTGTATGCCAGGATCATCAAAGGAATCTGAAGACACAGAAGACAATCAAACTCAGATACTGCAGAATATAGAGTGTAGAGAGAAGAAAGGGAAGACACTGGACAAGTACAAGGATATGACTCCTAATGAAGGGGAGACAGCAAGTGGTTAGACCCTCCTTTAGAGAGTAATTGAACAGCCTCCTTGGTTCAAGGATAGTAAACATTGACCCTGAGAAGAAAGACTATCTCCTGGAGCCCCAATAAAATAAAGAGACATAGTGTGGCTTTCTTTCTCAGGCATACACTCAGGATTGTTTCCAGTTGTGCTGATTCCTGTAGGGAGATTGGTGAAGACTCTTCAGAGAATCACATAATTGGAAGGAAGCACTTTAAATATAAAACACTTCAAAATATAGGAGATGCTTTTATTGATTCCTGTGGGGCAAAGAGAAAGATTTGGGGATATGTAAATGAATGCAAGTTAAGTTCTAAAAAATGGTTTAAAATATTGGAAACAAAGACTTGTGTCTAAGATGAGAATATATATGAACCAAAAAGTGTAAGACGGTGTTTGGCTAGCAACTACTTACTATGATTGCAAAGAAAGGAAATTAAAATAGAAATAGACCTATGGCACTGATTAGAGTGTAAGATGCCAGGAATACCAAATCATTTCTGCTCTACCCTCATATCTCTCTAGAAAAGCCATTATTCAGTATCTGTTGGCCATTCCCCCTTGAACTCCATGACTGGACCAAGCATGGAATTATGATACCAAAGATAATAAGCCACAGGCCAAGCTAAGGAAATCAGATTTGGGAGAAAATCTAAGTAGGCATACCAAGACTGAGTTTTGAGGCTTGGTCACTTGATCTGGAAGGTCATGTGTATTCATGCCAAGGTCATCATTTTCTTCCATGTTCACCCTAAAATATAAAAATGCTGGGCTGTAGAACCTGGAGAATTGTACAGACACTTCAAGAAGCACAGAAAGACTGTTACTGGTCTCAACAGACCAGGTGTTAGTTCTTTATGGAACCTAGCTATTCTCCCTTTTCTCATGTTCTAGAGCATGCCCCTATATCACTTATCAAATGGCTTTTTCTTAGTTTAAGTTATCCTAAGTAGGTTGTTGTTTCTCACAAGTAAACAATCTTTGTACAAACCATGTGGAAACAAAAATGTCAGAGCAGGCATGGTGTCAAATCATTTCAATTGAAATTATAATTGAGACATGGGTCATACATGAGTCTCATAGTCTCGTCATCTCAGGTGTCTCACAGCAACATAATATAGGTTATAGAAGAAATAAACCTGTGATTAGAAGGTAGGATGAACAAATACACTTTTACAGGAACCAACAGGAAGAATTTGGTGTAATAAAATAAAGAGTAATGATAGAACTCCAAATATTCAAGACATTTACTAAGGGTCTCATTCAGCTAAATTAATTCTTGATTGACTTTTGGCTTAACACAATGACATAATGTTCAGAGGAATTCAAACTCTGAACCTAAGTCCCACAAAGAGGACTTTTTTGGTGAAATGAAAATAATGTTGCCCAGGGAAAAAAGTGTACCTGGATAACCGTATGGGAAGGAAAAGATGAGTATTGTCCACATCTAGAAGATCTGGGTTTGAGTTACAAAGGAGAATATAATTCAACAGCAGCTCAAGAGGTTAAAGTTAAATTCTGATTGTGATTTCTCTATAAGGAAGAGAGAAATGCTCTAGAAAATGCAATTTAGCTACATAGCCTGCTTTTTCAAAAGCTCAATAATGACTTAAGTCTGTACAGGTTAGGGAGAATGTGGCCAATAAACAAGGAAGAGTAAAAAAAAACACAAAGAAGAGGGAACATACCTGTATACAGAGATACATGAAGGCTAATACCTCAGTAGCTACTATTTACAAAACCTGCTTACGAGTAATACAAAATGTTGTATATTTATGATTGGATCAGGAGCTAATTATAATTTGTGAATGCCAAAAATAAACCTTTGTCTCTCTTTTTTCTTTCTTCTCGGTGAAGGTGAATGATTTCAGACTAAGAAAGTAGAAAAGTAATTAAATCAAGATCTCTGCAAAGTAATTTTCAGCGCACCCACAACTCCCTACAACAAGGTTATGTTTATAGGTCACATAAAGGGTAGTGAAAATTACTGAAAGAATGATGATCTTCGAAGAAACACACCAGACAAACAAATGCCATCTCAATTTTCAAAATTACGGAGAAGATGTAGTCTCAAATATATTCCCCAGCATGGACCCTCAGTGGATCTTTAAAGTACTAGATTGAAAGTACTTAAAAAACAATAAACTAGACAGTCTGCAAGTGTCAGCATGCGCCAAGCTATCTATGAATCAAGCATCTCTGAATGCCTCATTTCCATTTCTGATGAGAATTTTAAGGCTGCAAGATTCTAAACCAGTTGTAGGTGTAGTAGCCTTGGAAACAACAAAACAAAGGTCTTCCCAGATACCCTATGGTCAACATGATAACCTTGAGTGAACGAGAGTACATACAATTCAATGAATTCGTGCATTATTCAAATGGTAGCATGGTAAATTTGTGCCAATTTGGAAGAAGGTTCTCAGTATCACCCCAAAGACCATACCCACTGTTTCCCAATTTAATCTGTTAATAAACTCTGAGCCAGGCACAATAAAGAGCAGCAGGACCAATCATGAACACCAGTGTCTGTCCTTCTAGACCTTATAATTGACCTTTAGCCCTCTTCCAAATACATTTTTATAGCACTAGGGATTGAACCCAGGAACTTTGCACTGTGCTACACATCCCCAGCAGAACTTTTTATTTTTTAATTTGACACAAAGTTTTGCTAATTCACTAAGTTACCCATAGTGGGCTCAAACTTGTGATCATCCTGCCTCAGCCTCCCAAAATTCTGAAATTATAGAACAAAAATAAGGTTAGATGATTGCTATAGTTTGGATCTTAAATGTTCCTCAAAAGTCCCTTTGTTAAAGGCTTGGTTCCAAGAGTGGCACTACTGGGACATTATGGAACATTTCAGAGATGGGGCCTAATGGGACATCTTCAGGTTATTGGAGGGGTCCCCTTGAAGGTGACCATAGAATCTCAATCCTTTCCTCCTTCTCTTGCTTCCTGGCCATAAGGTGAGAAATTTTGCTCTGCTGCATGCTCCTGCCATGATATAGTGCCTTGCTGCAGCCCAAAAGCAACATGGGCTAATCAGTCATGGTCTGAAATTGAAACCATCAAAAGTAGAAGACAGAATAAGCCTTCTCTCCTTATAAGTTGATTATTTGTTATAGTTATAGAAAGCTAACACAATGACTTAAATGAGTATTTGAAAAATACATTTATTAAATTTTGCATGACAAACAGGTAAGAGGAATAGCAGATGTGGAAGATAATGGAGCTGCCTTCCCAGGGAATCTTGAAAGGCATTTATTACAGGTTAAATCAAACAATACTAAATAGTATAAGGATAAATGTCTGGTTCTTCTTTTGAATCAAAACAAAAAAGAGTCACCACAAAGGTATGGATTGAAGGGAAATACAGTTTATCAGCAAACAAGGCTGAAAATAATCCAGAGTTTTTGGCAGAAAACTCATCATGCCCACACAATGTGATTGGTGGGAAAAAGAGAAAAAAGAAGCTAATACTTGAGTTGTATGAACAGACCATATGTTGAAAGAATGAGGAAATAGATCTATGCTATCCTCTGTTAGTGGTCTAGGTGCCACCTTCAACAAGACTATAGAAAGAGTAAGGGGTGTGTAGAAGAAATTAACAGAGTGAAAACAGTTCCTGGGACAGTAGAACAGTATGGAAAAAAATGAGAATGTTTACCATGAACAGGCTCATTAGGGAGACAGATGTCTTCAAGTGTATAAAAGGCTGATTTATAGAAGTCTATAATAAAAGAATGAAAAATTGAATCAGATTCACCTCAAATTAAGTACAAATTGTGTTGTCCAAACTTCTTTCCATTGCTAAAATTGCTACAAGATCCACCCTGCTCTATTTCCAGCCACTTCTCCAACCTCTCTTTTACCCTTCACAATACTTCATCTAAACTCCTTCCTCTTAGCCCTCAAACTCACCAAATTCAACACTACCTCAAATCATGCACTTAATCCTTCCTTTTGTCTGAAAAGCTTTTATTCCACACGTGCTCATGGCTGACCGCCTTCTCATCAAGGTCTTCAATTTTAAGATAATTTTTTTTCTGGATGATCTGACCAATGATGAAAATGGTGTGCTGATGTTTTCTACTGTTATTTTGTGAGATTATCTCTCCCTTTATATCAAGTAATATTTTACTCATAAAATTGGATGTTCCAACTTGAGGTATATATATATTTACAATTGCTATATCTTCTTGAATTGATCCCTTGACCATTATAGAGTGACCTCCTTTGTTTCCCTTTTGTCTCAGCTTCTGACTTAACATCTATTTTGTGTTATATAAATGTAGGTACTCCTGCTCACTTTTCTATTGCATGGAATATCTTTATTCATCCTTTCACTTTGTCTGTACACCTTTACCAGTGAAGTGGGTTTCCTGTAGGCAGGATATCATTCGGTCTTTTTTTACTTAGTTATTTTTAATCTATTCAGCCAGTAAAATTACTTTCATTGAAGAATTTGGTTATATTAAAGGTTATATTTTATAGCTAAGAACATACTCTTCTCCTTTTGCTAATTTTCTTCTGTTTTGAATCCTTTATTTTTTCCCATGTCTTTCTCTCTTATTTATCTTTGTGGTGTGGTGGTTTTCTGCACTGATAAGGTTTAATTACTTTTGCCTCTCTCATTTATGTATCTGCTTTTATATTTGTTTATATTTTTGTGCATTTTCATTAATGGTAGCTATCTTCCTTTTGCTTTTATACATAAGGCTCTCTTAAGCATTTTTTTGTAAGGCTAGTCCAATGGTGATGAATTCCATCAGTTTATGTTTATCTTGAAAAGTCTAATTCTTTTTCTCTGACAATAGCTTTTCTGTTTACACTATTTTTTATTAATTTTATTGGTACATTTTAGGTATACAATATGATGACATTCATCATTGGAAATTTGTGCCTTTTCATGGAATATTATGGTTTTTATTTTTTGCCCATTCCCCTCCAACCCCTCCACTTCTCCCTATTTACAAAGACTTTGTTTCCATTTTTTCCTTTTTCCAGCACCATTTATTAAAAAGGCTTTCCTTCAGGGAGGGCATGTGGCTCCTTAGTCAAAGATGAGGTGACTGAGTGTGTCTGGAGTTGTTTCTGCATCTTCTAATCTATTCCACTGATCCTTGGGTCTGTTTCTTTGCCAGTACCGTGTTGCTTTCATCACAGTAGCTTTAGTTTCAAGTTGAGGATTGTGATATACCCTATCTTGTCCTTGTTGCCTAGAATTGCTTTTGCTATTCTAGGTCTCTTCTGGTTCCAGATGAGTTTTTGGATTGTTTTCTCAAGTTCTGTGAAGTATGCTGTTGGAATTTCAATTGAGATTGCATTGAATCTATATAGCAGTTTTAGAAGTATGGCCATTTTCACTAAATTGGTTCTTCCTACCCAGGAATAAACAATGTCTTTCCATTTTCTGATATCATCTTTGGTCTCTTTTTTTTAGACTTCTGTAGTTTTCACAGAAGTCTTTGATTTCTTTCATTAGGTTGATTCCTAGGTATTTTGTTTTTTGGATGCTATTGTGAAAGGAGTTGTTTCTCCAGTTCCTCTCTCAGTGAGTCTGTTGTTTTGTGTACAGAAAAGTTATTGATTTTTGTGAGTTGACCTTGTATCCAGCTATTCTACTGAATTTAGTTATTAAGTATAGAAGAGTTTTGGTGGAGTTCTTGGGGCTCTCTACATAAAGTACCATGTCATCTGCAAATAAAGACAATGTGACTTCATTTCCTATCTTTATTCTTTTTATTTCTT